TCTTTTTAAAACTTAAAACATAAATAAAAATGTCAAAACTTTCCAACAATCATTAGGGCTGAAAATGAACATTCCAGGAAGTTCAAAGCAGGCCTCACAGCATACATCTCTGTCCTCCATCACTTTACTGCCACCTCCCATTGTCTAAGGCAACTGTCTCACTCACTCTAATAGTAATAATAATCCAATCCTAGGATCAAATGTATTCCAAACAGAAATGCTGAAAAAATCAGAAATATTGGTACAAATAGCCTTTGTATTTATTAATACTGATACACAAATAATTTAATGATGTAATAGATTCTAAACATAATGTTTTACATGTAGAATAATTCTTCCAAAAGCTATCTTCTGAAATAATTGTACATCTTTAGAAAACTTACAGTACAATCCATTTTGGAGAAATCAATTCATTTGCAAATAAATTTCACCCCCCATATGGACTGAATAATTAAGGGTTTGACCATATGGACTGAATCCATATAAAAAAATAATCCTTTAATCAAAGAGTAAATTCAGAGATGATGTGAGGAAATACTGTAAGAAGGATTTCTAGCACTCAAACAACACATTGGTAGTTTTAGTCCTACAGAATTAGAAACATGTAACACAGATAGTCTGATATTTGTCTATTATCACTTATAAGAAAGCATTATTTACCAAATGTAGTATTAAACTGGTTCATACCAGTACCTGCTTTGTGATTACTTCTGCTTGACTCCCCCTGCCATCAGGCACAGCTAATAAATCCACAAACTCTATATGTAGTTTATTTAGCATTATATTTAAATAGAAATTTCTTCTTGTTGCTTGTTCAAAAATTCAGGATCTTCATAGCAGAACAGGATAAAGAAATCCCTTTGGGTCTAATACTCAACTAACCATGCACAAAGGCTACCCACGTTCTTTAGCTCTTTGTTGGGAAGAATGGTTTAGCGTGATTGGAAAATATACACTAGTACATATGCTCATTCTTGTTTATCAAATCCCAAGTGGGCTACTGCTTGCTTTAGCTAAAAATTATAAACTATGTATAATCCCATACTTGTGAACAAGCAGATTCATCTTTCCCTTAATGTTTAATTTTTTTCGAAGGTTGTTTGCAACATATTCACAGTATAATATATCACAAAAAATCAAAATCTGGCCTTCGTGCCTCTGGATTGTAGCATTACAAGATGGCAGTTCATTGTGTTTGATCATGCCATTGAGGTTTATCCAAATGTCTTCCAAAACTTGATTATTACATATGGATGATTCTATTATCCACCATGCTCTGTAGAATACATGTAGCTTTAATTTTTTTAAAGTGCTCTGCAATTCTAGAGATAAAGGAAGAATGCTGTCTTTAAGTTTAGAGTTGGGTAGAGAAACACTCCAAGTTCTCCTCAGCTTGTACCTGCCATCTGCTGATTGCTTTCCCAAATTGCTCAGATCAGTTTCTCCGTGGTCGGTGTGTAAAGTCTGTCCAGCTTTTGTATTAGGTTGAAATTCCTTAAGCCCTTCTGTACAGTCATAACCTAAGGAGTAGCTGCACATAGTTTCTGAAGTGGCAATATACTGTTTTACTTGTTCTACTTCTCTAACAGAAATAACTGGAGGGATTTTTTTAGGTTTAACAGGCAATTTACATAAATTATTTGGAAACCAGGGTATGAAGACTGGCAGCTGCCGCCTAGGAAATTTCTTCAGGACTTCTTCTGAAAGTTTTTGCAATGCTGCAGGGTCTTTTTCCCATGCTCGGTAGTGTAGAACTATTTCCATCCTTGTACAATAGGAATCTGTGTCTTATTTTAAAAATTTTCTGGACAGGAGCTTCTCAACAAACAAGATGTTATTGCTTAAAAGAATCTTATCCCGTGTGCTGTGCAGCTCAGAACAGGACCTAGAGCAGAAGTAATAAGACACTCTAGCAACTTTGCCATCAAATTCACTGAGATTTTGTTAGAAAATGTACTAATTTAATTTACCATATGTATACACCATTGAAAAAATAGCTCCAATGGTATAGGAGACACTCAGTTTTATTAACAACTTCTTCCCAGTTTTGTTATTGTCACTCAAACCACGGTACAAGAGTTTTTATGATACAAATAGAAATGAGTGAAACAAGTGAGATGGAACCATAGCATCAACTTTTGTTCTTAACGTTCAGATATTTCCTAGATGACCAAAACAATACAGTAGCTAGGCTTATACATCATGTTAATCCAGATTGAAATTTGCTTCATATGTTATGTGAAAGTAAGCTTCATGTCTTATATTTTCCCCATACATGTCCTCTCTATGCCACCCTTCTCCCAACCTGGGAGAACTCCCAGATTTTCTGTTTATGCTGGCTTTGAATTCTGGGAGTTGTAGTTCCATCTGAAAAACATCAGGCTAAGGAAGGCTGCTTTAATCTATTAGTAGTGTCACACTAAAAAAATACAACCCATTTGCACCATCTTTCAAATGATTCAGTACAAATTATCTCAGCTTTTGAACAGACGTGTTTTAGAGACAACAATTCTGAAAAAGTTATTCTAGCCTTAAACCCAATGTCACAAAAGCTGATGGCATTCCATAAAAATTAATTTGAAAATAAGCATTTAAAATGGACATTTAAAGAAATTTATGTTTCCATAAATTGTCTCCACAAACTTACTATATTAACTCACTAAAACTATTACTGTTGTATCAAGTATGCTGATAATCAAAAAAGCAGCAGAAACATTTTTCAAAACCTGCTTTTGCATTTACTTTCATGCATATAAAATGTGTATGAAAAGAATACACTTAGAACTTTCTACTCTCTAATATTCAACAATTATCTATAATATTATAGTGTTCCCTCAGGCACTGATAAACAGAACTCTGGTCTACCATGCAGGATTATTGGTTTTGATTAAACCATTTACTGTGTTTTAAAAAGGTAAAATTGTCATGTGAGTTGCACTCAGCACCTAATGGCTTCATGGACACATGGCCTTTTTCCAATAAGTTTTTTCAATATCTTGACCTAACCTATAGACTTGGGATTTCCTGGTGATCTTCAATTAAAAAACTAATTAGGTCTGACCCTGCTTATCTTTTTAGATCACCCTAAGTCAGCTGAATGCTGCCACTTAGCTAAGTTTTAAATAAGTAAATAAATAAATAATTTTTTGCAATATATGAAATACAGTCTTCTTCAAATTATATGAGTTATATAAAATTGAAGAAATTTGAATTTTTTATAATTAAAACTTAAACATATATATATTCTTATATATGCATTCAATTTTTATTTACAGCTCTTGCATACAGTATTGATTTTCCTTTGATTCAGTCCTCCAACTGAAGTTTAATCAGTTATGTATCACTTTCTCCTCCTTAGCTCCTTCCTCCAATTTGCAATTTTCCATTTCTTCATTTGCACAGAAGTACCTGCATAGCCTGAATAAGGAACTAATTTTTCCATACTTGTACTCCACAAAATAAACTTTTTGTCACCCCAAATTATATTGTTCTCCCATCAGGAAACTGCCTTCTGAGTAGGACACTCTGCAGGATGTAAATACTTTGAAGAAAAAAGTATTTGCCTAATTATTAACACAATTTTTGCATTAATACAGCTTAGTTGTATTACAATAATAGTAATAATATTAATATCAAGTATCAAGCAATTGCCTTCTGCGGTAGGACTTCATTTTCTGACCGAAGCTTTGTACCGGGCTAGAATAATATTTATTTTTATTTTATATTTCAAATTTGGACACCACCACCAAATATTAATATGTATTATTTTAATGCTAACATAAATAATTATGCACTTCAAAACCACAAAAGCAATTTTTCTTCAAGAGTAGTAACCTGAGGAAATATCCATAAGTTAACATATTTTTTAAATTATTTTATTGTAAACCGCCCAGTCTCACTTCCTCATGAGATGGGTGGTGTCCAAATTTGAAATATAAAATAAAAATAAATATTATTCTAGCCCGGTACAAAGCTTCGGTCAGAAAACGAAGTCCTACCGCAGAAGGCAATTGTTTGATACTTGCCTTACAGAACAGAGTTATCAAGTTCCTTAGGGCTGCTTATCCAAAGTCCCTAATTAGATCATTTCTTTACAGTATTGGGGGAACCAACCAAGGTGATACAAACTAGCTGGCTTTATTTTCATAAACTAGCCGTACTATAACTGCTTTTTATAAGACTTGCTCCTGTGAGAACAAGAGCCAGGAACCAACTTCTGCCTCGTTTGTAGAATATCCACAGCCACATAGGAGGCGTGATTCTTCTCACTAATCAAATCGGAGGGAGGGGATGAAATAGGTTTCATGAACTGCAGCCCCACACACCTCCCAATTTTTACCTAATCATCCTTCCTACCACCACCAGCCCCAAACAAGGTCTCGTAAAAAGTGCGAAGAAGCGCGTTACTTCTGTCCCTGCCCCACAAGAGGAAACCCGATCTCGTATTTGTAGGATGCCGTTTTCCTATTAAGCTTAGGCCTTTCTCCTTAGCTAGATGAAGATCAGGGAACGAGAAACACCAGGCGAGGCAAGCAGCTTAATGGTAGTAAGGTGACGAAGGCTTAGTACCTTTCAAGGCCAAGAGATGCTCCTGCTTGGTCTGGGTCACATCCATTGCCTCAGCCCCCCACCTGGGTCTTCCCTTTCTTCAGTCAAGATCAGAAACAGGCTCCAGGCGTATCATTTCCTACCCACTCTAAAAAAAGAAAAATTCCGTCTGCTTCTGGCCCGCTATTTTCTGTCAGCAGCGCTTTCCCGAGGACAGGTCACTGCCGTAATTTCTTCCGAAACTACAATTCCCAACACGTCTTGAGATATGTTGTGCGGTTCGGCTTCCGTAGGCTCGAGGAATTTTTGTTATTACTACGAGAACAACGCGAATTGTCAGTATGCTGCATTCTGGTAGTTGTAGTCCTGGTGAACCTTGACTTTTTATTATGGCGTTCCGTGGCATACTGAGAAGAAACAGGCATGCGCAGTGGTTAGAAATCTATAGGCCCAAGTTAAACGCCTTTTTTTTGCGTGTCTACAGTAGCTTTACCTCTGGCTCTCTTTAGTGACGTATGCGCGCATTCGTATCCCTCCTCCGTCTCCAGGGGGACCTCCGCTGTAGGTCCGGCGCGGGGGCAGCTTTCGCTCGGCCGTTCTCCTTCCTTGTCCAAGATGGCAGCGCTAAGTGTAAACAAAATCGGGTCTGGCGCTGGGATGGATGCCGGGAACAGGCACAGCCGAAGTCCGGCGGGGCCTGTTGTGAAGGTGAGGACAGTGGACCTGAGAGGGCGGGTCCTTGATTTTGGCTTCTTCAGGGGCTCATCGATGGAAAACCGAGAGGGTCCGTCCCTTACCCCGCTGGCGCTTCTCTCTTTTCACTAGCATCCCCCGACAGTCATTGGAACCTTCTCTGGGTAGATTTTCGCAGGCGGTGTTGGAGCAAAAGGGAGCAGTCCTGATGCCCTGTTCTGCGTCCCCCCTCCAATCTGATTTGTTCACATTCTTTCTCCCTTCCTAGTGAAATGGGTGCTTGTGAAAGTAAGAGAATCTCCCCCAAGATTTTTTATATTTTCTTCATAAACTGAGTAGGGGAGAATCGCCAGGGAGGGATCCTGTGCTTTCAGGACGACGTGCTGGATAAAAATTAAATGAGAGAAACCCTTTAGAAAGATGCAGTGGTGACAGTAACTCCAACAGCCCTTCTCACTTTGAATTATTCTTGGCATGTAGTTCTTAAAAGCATAAAAAATCGTGTGCCCTCCTAAGCCCCATGTAAAATTGCCTCTGAATAGACATATAGGTTCTCGGTGTAAGATTGTTGAGGAAACGCTTGAACCAGATCTGCTGGTAAGGGCACTTTATATGATATGCTTTAGGATGTGAGGTGTAAACTGTATTACCCAGATTGATTGGTGTATAGAATCAGTGTTGTAGTCTGAGATTGAATCATGTAATCTAAGCTAAGAGGAAATTGGAGATGTGTCCATTTTCCACTCTTAGTTGCATCTTTTGGTTTTAAACCACATAGATATCCTTAATCATTCATAAACGAGCATGCTCTTCTGTCAATTATAGGTTTTGGAATGTGGAGTCTGTGAAGATGTATTTTCATTACAAGGAGACAAAGTTCCCAGACTTCTTTTATGTGGCCATACTGTCTGTCATGACTGTCTTACTCGACTTCCTCTCCATGGCAGAGCAGTTCGATGTCCTTTTGATCGACAAGTTACTGAGTTGGGTAAGATACTTTTAAAACTTGATACATGGCTAAGATTTTGCTATTTAATAAGTGGAAGAGCAAGTTGTATTCATGCTTTATTCAGATTATATATTGGAAGTAAGGTCAAGTGCATGGACATACTCTGGAAACAATGGGATTGTTTGTGATTTGGGGGCTGGAGGAGAAGTCTGAATGCAAATGTGGTATTTTGCACCTGAAGTCCATTGAATAGAAATCCATCAAATCAAGGGCTCCTTATAATCTATACAATAGTATGGGGATAGGTACATTTATGATATTGCCAATGATTGCAAGGAAGTTTAGATTTTACACTTTAAAAATCAAAGCTGTATGGCTCACTAAAAAGAAAGATTATGCTACAAACGCTATAAAAATATCGCACTTTTTAACAAAGGACATTATTAAATCTGGATGATATTAAACTTGTTAGAACGTGCTCTCATATGAAATAAATTGAAATTGGATTGCAAGAACATTTTCTATTAGGAAATCTTAGTGATATACTACAAAAAATCAAGATCGTAATTATTAGTAAAGAATTCTCTCTGGTCAGTAATTAAATAATAAGCAAATATCTCAAAATTGGTTTATTCATAAGTATTTCAGCATTTTATTTTCCAAATGTATTTGTATTCTGAAATGAAATGAAAAACTTTATTATGGTCAAAACCAGTATATAATAAAACTTAATAATGTAAAGTAGGTTACATATATACGGAAAGGTACAAATTATAAAATTAACTAGACATATCAATCAATCAGCTGTACATTTTACACATGATGTAACAGAATTTAGCTACACTTAATGTACACTAACGTAAGGGGCATCTATATCTGACAGTAAAAATTGTAAATAAAAGAGGTCAGAGTTACTAGGAAATTTGCTTAAATGTGAAGTTATCAACTCTGAACGTGTGCTAGCATAAAATGAGTGATATAATAAAATGTTTTAGAGTTTCAATAGCCCCTTTGCTGCATGGGCAAAACCATAGCTCAAATGGGATGCCCTTGTAGCTCCTTTCTAAGACCACTGTAGAAAGAATATTGAATTGAGCTAGGGAGAATGCCCTCCTATATTTAGGGATTGTGATTTAATTCAGGTATCTAGCAGGTCTAAGGAGGATAAAAGAACTAGTCAGGAGTATATCCTTAAGAAGAAATGCCGGATCTAATTTGATATCAGGGTCCTTAATCCTTTTGCTCAAAACCGTATTGCATGCTTGTATGTAAGTGTGCCAAGTTGGGTTAATGAAAATCCAAGGAGCCCCAATTTTTTGCCTATTGCTTTGGATCAGAATGAAAATTTCAGTAAGAATCCAAGATGCTAGGCTTTCAAAAACCTACACAAAGTATATTTTGGTCCAGTATGTAAAGATATGTGAGCACTGGTCTCAATATTACTGAGGCTTGTGTCGTGGAAAAGAATTGCATGTGAAACAAAGAGGGGGCTTGGAATATGTTCCTAAGAAAGCTGTCTGAACTCTTTCTAAAGAAACAAAGCAACTATGTGGGCCTAATTGGGCACTACATAACAGCTGTGCTCTAACTTTAGCTGAGTATATTGGGACGCAGCAGGGATAAATCGCCTTTAGTATAGAAAAATGCAGCTCTCTGAGCATTCTCTATGCATTCTGCCTGAAGTAGTGGCATGAAAAACTATACCTTGATATTTAAATGATGTAATCTGCTCAGTTGGATGATAATTTACTGTCCAAATATGTCTTTTAGGACATTTTATTAAGACTACCATCTTGATCTTATGGTAGCTGATTTCCAGAGATTTGGAAGTAGTCAGCCAATGCATGCAATGCCCTTCTTAGGCTAATAGGAGTCTAGAAAGTAAAACTGCCTCATCTGCATATAACAGGACTGAAATACGCTTCTCTACTAGGTCATTCATCGCAGCGGTTAGTGCATTAATATAGTAATTAAACAACAGCAGGACAAAAATATAGCCTTAGCTGTAACTGTATAATAATTGTATTATTAACAGAGATCTTGTTGGTATAGTGTCCTTGGGAGGTACATCTGATTTTTACTGCAGAGGTTATAGATTAGCAGCCTTCTCTCTAGAGAGGAGTTTTGGAATTTGTGCCACAGATTAGGCCTGGAAATTAGATTGAAAGCTGCTTTAAAGTCTATAAAGACTATAGAAAGTGAAGCTGCTTGTGGTTCGGAAGTGTACTTTTCTGCCAGATGTTGTAGAATTAGAGCATGATCAAGGATGGGTTGGCCTCTTCTAAGTCCAATTTGTTCCTCAGCCAATATGTTCCCTGAATCCAACCATTCCAGGAATTTAACAGCAAAGTGTTTAGCATATATCTTGCTGAGGAGGCTGATAGGACAGTAATTGAAAGATTCCAATTGCCTTTTCTATAAATGGCATTTTCTATGCCAACCTTGCTGACTGCCAGTCAACAAGATAGCAAGCAGGATATCTGTCACAGTTCAATGATAAACAAAGCACAGGCAGAGCTTTTACAGGAAAGGGGTTCTTTTTACCAGCAGCTTAAGACAGCAGCTATTAACATAGTCACAGGTACAGGAATCCAGTAAACAAGCAATGAATCCAATGGAAAAGACAGGAGATCCAGTGAGGTAGAATCCAGAGTTCTAAGTATGGTGCAGCAATATATACACAGCAAAACTGAGGCTTGAAAAGTTGCTCTTGGCATCTGCTCTCAGAGAGTGAGGCCAATAAATCAGCCATGCTGAGTCTCCACCAATACCTAGCTGCAGGGTTTACTCCTCAGCATTGGTTCTTCTGTAGGCTTGGCTTTTTTTTTTTTTTTGACAAATCTCTCAGATATACAGAGTTCTGCTCTCTATTGTTGAATCTTTGTCACATGCCTCTGTTTAGGACTGGGTGGCTGAACTTCTGGGTCTGAGAGGCTGTCAGTGTGTGCAGGTAAGTGGAGTTATTGGCTCTGCCACTACTAGAATAGTGATTTTGTAATTTTGTTGCTTATGGGGTTATCTTAGTTAGGTATTTTGTGCTGAATTTCATAATGCAAAATAACTGGCAACAAGGACAAATTATAATTTGATTTTAGCAAGTTAGTGTTATGAATATTCTTGTAAGATGGAATCGCTACAAATAATATGAAATATCAATAGAAGAGAATATATGTAGCTCAAAGTTGAACTGTGGAGTCCTTGGTGTTCTCTGAGCTTGGTTGTTTCCTTGCAGACATTTCGTTACCTGACTAGGTAACATCTTCAGTCCTAGAAGGGAGTGAAGTTTGCTGTCTGTAGCTTGCCCTGGCAGTGTTGGTGGGGTTGTTGTTTTCTTCTTGTTAGTTCCTTGATTAGGCTATTGTTTACTGCTTGATTGTTTGTCTGGTGTTAACCCTGGTGTTAATCCCAGCTTACCTGGGTGTGACTGCTGGCGAGGAGGAGTTTTGGTATTTTTGTTTCTTTTTTAGCTTTTTATTGTCTCTTTTGAATGGTATGTAAATGTTATTTATCTCTATGTGCCTGTTGATGGCTGACTTGTTTGAATACCAAGTGAATTACCTCAAGTTTTTGGATTTAGCTTGGTCTAAGATGCTGCCAGTTTCCCAGTTGAAACTATGGTTGAGTCTGTTCATGAGCGCATCCATGAACACCAACTAGCAGTCAGAAGACACAATGAAAACTCCTTAATCTCACAACACATGGACAGACTCAACCATAATTTCCCGTGCTGTTGGGACTTTCCAGGATGTGGCGGCTTTGTGCTTCACTGTTGGGGCTTCCCAGGCACTGTAGTTTTACGCTGGGCTGCTGGGCCAGGCTGGGACAGCTGAGGCTTCCAGGGGTGGCTGCAGCTTCACACTGTGGCTCAGGGGCTTCTTGCAGCATGCCAAGAAGCCCCTGAGCTGCAGCATGGCAAGCAGCTCCAGAGCCACGCAGTTCTGAGGCTGCTTGCCGCCCAGCAAGGCAGGGTGCAAGGTGGACAAAAAGGCAGAGATGGGGGGGAATAGTTGGGGAGAGTTGAAGAGGAGGCAGTCCCTTATCTTGCCAAGGCTCTGGGCTGAAGGAAGCAAGCCAGGAATGGCTTGGATTGGGATGGATCCTCGCCTAATGACCTGCACGTCTTGGGGTTAAGACCATAACCAGAACTGCCCGGGATTGTCTTTGCTAAGCGATGCAGTCACATGATGTCATGCTTTACGGTCGCTTAACAATGGAAATTCCAGTCCCAATTGTGGTCGTAAGTCGAAGACTACCTGTAATCATTAAAAAAATAAAATATTTTGGAGGGTCATAATTATTATGTGATTTAGTCCGATTTGAAGTGGCAGTGTAAAATCCTGGTAAAATCGAGGCTATCATAAAATGGGAAGAAATTCCTAAAGCAACAAGAAATGGTGTGATTATTGACTACACTGTATTTATCAAACAGAAGGTATTTATATAACGGAAGGTGGAAAATAATTGGGTATATATTGATGAAGATTCTCAATCATCCAGGTGGAATTATCTGGAGGTTGAGTCATGGCAACTGGACTTATTTCTTTTGGTTTGATACGTTTCGCGGCTTGTCCAAGCAGCTTTTTCAGTCTAGAAAGTTGGTTCGTTTCTCACTAACATGATGGGCTCATTGAAGGGACAATAGGAGATGTGATTAGTAGAGTCTCTGGGATGTGGATGTCCTGTCCCTAATCTCTCACTCATCGCCAAGTG